AGGGGTGCAGTGATGTAAATACAGTCTTTGAGTAGAGTCTCTGTGATGTGTAATCTTGTCCAACTTGCTTTGTAGGTTTGCAGCACCTAGACATTTTCAAAGACAAATCTCATGGGGTGAAAAAAAAAACATCTGTCCTACATATGTGTAAAAACTGATTTTGCATGCTCATTCACAAACCTGTGCAAGAGAGGTAGAGTTTAACCGAAACAGAAATGTGTCATGTTTTGTACAGATTATGCTTTGTATTGTACATTTTAACATGTAAATAAGCATGCTTCTGTTAAAGTAAAAATATAAATCACAATAATAATGCTGCAGTCTGGGCGGCACAGTGTCTCAGTTGGTGGAGCTGTTGCCTCTAAGCAAGAAGGTCGCCGGATCGAATCCCGGCCCAGGGACCTTTCTGGGTAGAGTTTGCATGTTCTCTCCATGCATGTGTGGGTTTTCTCACGGCACTCCGATTTCCTCCCACAGACCAAAAAACAGGCTAATTGGCAACTCTAAATTGTCCCTAGGTGTGAGTGAGAGAGTGAATGGCTGTCTGTCTCGTTTGTCTCTATGTCCTGTGATGGACTTGTGACCTGTTCTGGGTACCCCCTACCCCTCATATGACTGCTGGATATGGGCACCAGTGACCCCCACCCTGACTCTGAAGGGAAGAAATGGATAAAAGATAATGGATGGATGCTTCAGTCTTTCCTCCAGGCAGTCTTGCAGAATCTATCTGCTTCCTACAAAACTGGATCCAAGACCAGCATGAATCAGAATTGTGATTTTTAAAAATCACACACATCTTAATGCCAGTTCAATAATGGAATAATTATGAGTCTGTGGTGTGCAATTTACTACGAGGCAGCGCTTACGGTGAGCGTGGGAAGGTTAGACTAAAGCATGGCCAGTTATCACCCACCAAGCTCGCATCTGATGAAATATTACGTTGAGCGGCAGACCCGCTTCCTTCCCACTCTGCCACAGCGGGGACAACAGTGGTGAGTAATCACACACTGCCCTCTGATCCCACTGTGACTGTTAATACACTCTTGTTAAGTCAGGTGCTTTCCCATCTAAATTGTTAAGTGGGCCATTTCAATCCACAGGTTCAGCGCCGTTTATGAGCTGCTGAGTGGGCTGTTCAGGGTTGAGAGAGAGAGAGAGAGAGCAGCTTTAAGGCAGAAATGTACCATGTCTGTAAGTCTGTATTTTACTTACACGCTTAATAAAGATGTTTAGGGAGACCAAGAAAATATCAAAATTGATATTTGAATTGAAATAAATAATTTTTTAATGAAATGAGCATAAAATAAAAAGGACCTGGTATTTTTAAAGGGAATGCATAATGTTCTCTGCCTTTCATACCAGTTTAAAACTAAGATATTTCATAAGAAATGACAGAGTTGGAGCTCTTTAAGTCAAACTTAGACGGGGACGTTATGTGCCATCTCATGCAGCATCTTAAAGGAGACCAATTATGGGTCCTAGAAATTTTTATGGTATGTCTGTGGGCTATCCAGACCATGTTCATTCAATTTRRHGCACAAAATAATTCTCAGATAATAAAATTTCCCATTTTCTAGTTCTGCCTGCTCTGACTTCC